CTTAAAAAAAAAAGATTAGCCTTTGAATCAGTAGACTCAGTAAAGCAGTTTACCCTCATCAACGTGGGTAGGCAACATCCAACCCACTAGGGCCTGATTTGAGCAAAAAGGGCAGAAATGAATTTGCCGTTACCTGAGCTGGGCCAGGCATCTCTCCTGCCCTCAAAACATCAGTGGTCCTGGTTCTCAGGTCTTCAGACTCAGCTTGAATTACCACCAGCTTTCCTAGTTCTCCAGTTTGCAGATAGTAGATTATGGGACCTATTAATCTGCTTGATCCCATAGGTCAATTTCTACAATAAATCCCCTAACTGCATCTAAATCTATGTATCACTATATTTTTAGCTCTGCCTAACCCAGTGATTTGATGCTGTGGAGAACCCTGACAAATAGTAATTCCTTGAGGACACAGAAAAATATTACACTTATTTTCTCTGCACAAGATCCACCTCACAGGTTAGTCCACGGAAAGAGTCCCTATATTGTTCACTTAATAACCAACCAGGGCAGGATGCAAATGGTTCACTGATGTTCTCTTGATAAACTGTGACATGCCTTGCTTTTGTTTTCAATTATTAGTTATTCCCAGTAGCTCTGAGCCTTTACGTTGGATTTCTAGTTTTTCTTGGAGAGTGAATGCCTCTGACTAACTCCAAAGCCTATCTCTGACTTAGAAGATCCAAATCTGTCTAGGGGCAGCTCCAGGATTTTATAGAATAGATGCCTTGGGGGCTGTTTAGCTGAAAGAGAAGGATAGGATAGGGGGGTGCTTGACTTAAAGCTGCATTCACAAAGCAAGCACATTGTTCTTACTCAGATTGCAAGTTGATTTGACCTTCAGAAAAACTGGTGGCACAGATGCAGGGGCTGACAAGCCCTCCAATCAAGCCCTGTCACTTACAAAGCCATCCCTTGATAATATCTGAATCTGTATATGGTTGAGTCAAGGCGAGGGCTAGCAGACCTCCAGCCTAATGTCTCCAAGAAAATGAAGATGTAAGACTGGTTGATGAGTAATTGGAGGGGCTGACTAACATCTTTAGGTCAGGGTGGGGCAGATTGTACCAGGCAGATTGTTTTCCAGTGTGACACCCATTCTGGCCCAGCCTAAGGTGTATGAATAATTCACATCTTAGGACAGGGGCAAAGGTCCATGGGAGTGGGGTAGTGCCAAGGTCAAAGGCAAGGGAAGAGTTCAGACTACAGGCAGACAGGTCAGGAGGCCAGGGGTCAGATGGTGCACAGAAAAGTAGGAGATGATGAGGGAAGATGAATAGAAAGGAGATCAGCCTGGGGAGTGCTAAGGAGATGGTTACATCCAGAAAGTCAGAATCATCCTCTCACCAGTTTCCACTCTTCTGACTCACCAGGTCAGACAGAGAGCAACACACATCTTTTAGACCCAATGAAATAACCAGCTTAATGTTCTGCATCAGCCTGGTGCTTTGCAGAGTGAATCTTAGAGACCCAAGTTAGCAGGAAGGCCCAGGGTAGTGAAGACAGTACAGTGTTCCCCAATAACTGCCATCTCCATACTCCTCTGACTCGCTGGTTAGCTGGTTAGCTGGGATTTTGTTTTTGTCCACTAAGAATTGAGATGAACACACAATACAGATAATTCTAGAGGGAATTAAAGCTTCTTTGGAACTTTGCCCAGCACCTTCAATCACACAGTGACAGGTAATCTCAGTCCTGAAATGTACCTTCCCCTCATACTCCCTCCAGAACAGTTTCTCCACCATTGGCAGCACTTCCTTCGTGAAGTCTCCTGTTGCATATAAGAAGGCAGGAGACAGGGGGTTGGAGGGACTGCAGTAAGGTCCATCTTGCACGCCAGAAGCCACATGAAGATCCTACCACCCCCGTATCACCAGCCTGGAGTGTCCCAAATCTGGAGGCCCTGCTACTCTAATTCCAAGGTTTATATGATTTTCACTGTGTACAAAGTTCTTTCAAGAACCCAGAGGGGCAACTAGAAAAGGAGTTAGTATCTTTGTTGTATAAATGAGAAAAGTGATTCAAGGGTGACCCATGATTTATTCAAGGTCATAAGAAGTCACAAAAGGGGGCCTGGGATTAGGACCAACCCCTGTACTCTAGTTGCCTGTCTGAATCAGCACTGCAAAAAAATAAAACAGACAGTTCCCCAACCCTTACCTTCACCCCTACCATCCACAGCATTACTGTTTCAAAGGATTCCACCACATACACACAGAATCCAGGATGAGGGGCAAAGAAAAAGCAAGGCCAAAGAGGAGTCAGCTCACTACCTGCAGGAGGACTGATGGAGGAAAGAGCAAATGGACCGAGGCCAGGAAAGCAGAAATCAAGTTAAAAAGGTGCAGAAATCTCTGTCACCTACTGTTTGGGAATCTGTCTTTGCACACTCACTGGAACAATGTGCATTTGTACCCATGTTTATAAAACTGTCAACATTTTAATGTTTATTTAGGAGGATAACCAAAAAAGGGCAACCAGTCTTTAAGGAGTACTTCCTAATACCAGAGACCCTACTAAGTGCTTTCTGTTCTCAGCCTGGGAGGTGGGTATGATCTTCATTTTTACAGACGAGAAAATGAAGCTTAGAGAGGTAAAGTAACGTATCAAGTCACAAGGTCTGGCCTGGAAGAAAGGCTGGTGACAGCAAAGCCCTGCTCTTCTCCTTACACCACATTATTGATGCTCTGGGCCCGGGCTCTGCCATTTAGAAGCTTGCAATCAGACTTAACCACACTGTTGAGTATAATCACAAGTCAGAAAGCATTTTGGATTAATGTATACACCAAGGAGAATGGCTAATGGGTAATTTGAGTAATAGTTATTCCCGTTTGAGTTACAGTGATTCCCCTTACCCCAGCCCAAAGAAATAAGAGGTTGCACTGAAGCTCCGGCGGATTACTGCTTCTGAACAGGAAGTTAGAAAACTTCAGGGAGAAGCAGTCAGCCTGAGGCGCAAGTGCAGGACTTCAAGACTGTGTGTCTTGATTGCTACCTGGCTACCAAGTTGTATGTGTATTTGTTTCTCTGTGCATGTGTGTTTTGGAAAAACAAATGAACATGTTGTACATTCTAAAAACATTTTGAAGAACACATGAAAAATGATGACATGTTTTAATGTTTTCATCTTAGTTTTCATTCATAATAAATGTATGCAGACCTGTTGTATCAAACATTTTGTAAAATAGCCAGATACCTAAAATAGATCCAGTCTAATATAAAAAGTCTGGTAGTTGATATATGTATTTGCCAGATTGAGGAAAGAGGGTGTGTCATTTGTTGGTAAATCAAAGTTGTGAAATTCTGAATTCTAATGATGAAAAGGAAAACAAGAAAAATAAGCCCAAATGATTTGTTTCCCTAGTTATATATCGACAGTTACTATAAGTGACATCCAGTCAGTCAGGTGTCCAGATCCCTAGCTACAAGGTCCACACAACCTCAAGGCAAAAGAGACACCCCAGGAGCCTGACTCAAGTACATCACCCCCACTGTAGGCTTTGCTTGTTGGTCTTTTTCAGAGCAGCCCACCTTTTGACAAGAATGGTTTTAATAGAGTCAAGCCTCTGTGTTTCAAACTGTGTCACTTCTGGTCAACAAAAGAAAAGTCTCTAGGGCCTCCCCAGTGGCGCAGCGGTTGAGCACTGGGTTGCGAAGCTGCCCGCAGTCTCTGCACCGCGGGTTCGATCCCGGCTGCTCCCCGGCCACCAGAGGAGGGTCCCACATGGCGCGCAGACCTCTCCTGCCGCCCACTGCTCCCCTCAGCAGTGTACTTCGGTCCTTCTGCCTGCTCTGCTCCCCGCTCTGGCTCTGGTAAATCCTCTCACCCTCCCGCGCTTCTGACTGTGCCCAGTGCATGTATAAATAATAAATAAATAAATATTAAAAAAAAAACCAAAAGAAAAGTCTCTGTGACTTATATCACACAAAATAGTATCTAATCGACAGTTTGCTAGAAAACCCAAGAACTCTCCTTGGCAAATGTGCATTAATAAAATTCAGAGACCTGCATGGAATGATAACCTGCTTATAAAGAAGGAATGCTCTGTTTGTGATTAACATTTACGTTCTTCTCCAAATTTAAACACACATAGGAACTGTCAGAAACTAATGTTGCCCTAGAGCAACATTTTTAAGGCCAGGTAAAACGTACTCTGGGCAATAAAGCAAAAAAGAGGGGGAAAAAATGACAATGATAATAATAAATTAGGGGGCAGGGGAGAAGGGCACTTCATGGAAATTACTCAGTTAAAAATTGACCTACAAACGCTTTTGAGGGCCGTTTTAATAATTACCTCAAGAAGACTAAATTGTTTCCAATATTTAGTCACTCTTCAAATTACATGCTTGAGAAATTTCTAAGCAGTTTTGGTAGTCGCAACTTGCCTAGGGAAAGCAATAAAGTAACATTACTATAGAACAAAGAACTTTTGTCTACCCAGGGGTAGAAGGATCGCGGGGACCTTCACTTACTCACAAAGCACAACCCCCAAAAGTGTTACTAGTTAGTTAATAACAACTATTTCCGGGATCATTAGAGCCTGGCATAGTTCAAACTGTTCCCTGACACCCCATTGCACCGGGCGTAATTGGAAGCGAAAATGCTATAACCAGTAGACAACCCCAGTTCAGCATCGACGGCTGTGAGCTCTTACAGTTTGAAAAACTCTCAAGAGTTTGGAAAAGCAGCACCTGCACAAAAGCAGAGCGCAGCCGGAGCCGGCGCCCTCTGCGCCCCTGCGCCCCGCCTACCTGCCCACAGCGAGGGCGGACGCAACGTGGATTTTGCATCCCGATTGTTTTTACTCCTAGGAAAAAACTGCAAGGGCAAGATGTGCCACACACCTGCCCCAATGAGTCTTGCCCGAGTGAGTATGCATCCCGGTCTGGACGCCTGAAAAACCCGGGAAGCCGCGGGCTGGACCCGGCGGAGACTCGTGCGCCCCGGCCTCCCCACGCGCGCTGGGCTCCAGAGCCGTCCCCGCGCCGGGCGTCCCACTCACCGCTCGCACTTGCCCGCGCCGCCGAGCCCGGGAGCCGGGGGCCCGCGCGGCTGCCGCATGCCCTCGGGCCGAGCGCGACGGGGCGACCGGGGGTCGGGCTCCGGCCAGGCGCAAGGAGCAGCGGAGGACGCGCAGACGCGAGGGCTGCAGTGCGCCTCCTCTCCAGCCGCTGCTGCGAAGCTCCAGAGCCCGAAGAAAGTTTGAAGAGAGAGGGCGGGTGCCCAGGAGGCGGAGGAGCTGGTCCCGCCCTGCCTGGCCCAGCCCTGGCCGCCCGTCAGTTCCCACGGGAGAGCGCCCCCCACCGGAGAGGCAGTATCGCCGGTGAGGGTAGCGGATCGCCTGGAGAGGGGGCCCAGTAAGTGACTTCTAGCACCCCCAGACTTTACAGAGCATAGTGCCCAGCACCCTATTAAAGCGCGATCCCCTACCTCTTCACTCTGCTGGAAGAGAGTTGTTTGAAGTGGCTCACCCACCACCTGAGGAGGCTGGCGCACTACCAGATCTAGGGGTTGTAACATTTAAACCCCAAATCGACCCGAGGATGCAGAGCGGGTGAGAAGCCAAGGATATTCATGTACACCTGGCCTGAGTCTTTTCCTAGACATCTTTTTATTAAAAGAGGAAACAAACAAAAATAATAATCAAGGGCCTCCTTGGTGGCGCAAGGGGTTAAGCACCGCACTATGAAGCAATTCTCAGCCTCTGCAGCACGAGTTTGATCCCCCGCGGGCCAGGGAGCAACCCACATGATGCAGCAGACCCCTCCTGTCTCGCCTGCTGCTCCCCTCAGCAGTGTATTTCAGTCATTCTGCCTGTTTTGTTCCCCACTCTGTCTCTGGTGAATCCTCTCACACACACCTCCCCCCACATCTCTGGCCTGTACCCTAGCTTTTGTATGCATAAATAAATAATTAATTAAAAAATAATTAAAATTCTGGGAGGAGACTTCTTGTAAGAGGCTTCTTCTGGGTTAAATAGACTTAGGTACTTTGTTGTTCAAATGTGAAATAAAAAGCCTCTGCTGACCCATCTTTGGTCAAGGTACAAAGTAAAGCAATACCATTAAGGCTTTGTTCTTTCTGAACTATCCAAAAAGGAGATTAGGGTCACACTAAAAGTTGAATCTGCTTGGTGTGTTCACACAATTAGGTAATGTCCTTCCTATTCATCCTGCAAACCTTGGGAAACATTAAAAGCAAGTGCCAAGATGTCTTACTGTAGTCCTTTGCCATTTATTCCTTAGTTCATTCATTCATTGCTCATTCAGTGTTGATATTGGGCCCCTCTAGGTGGCAACTAGGAGTGTTATCCCAGGAACAATCTGTCAGATAAGCTATCCCCATCATCAAAGAAATTCTGCTCTTTCCAAAGACAATGTTTTAATAATGTGCAATGGATTCCTTGTGCAATGGATCTTGCTCGGTAGGCAATGCTGTGCCTCAGATCTTCACAAGGATGTGCCAACATGTGCAAATTATTATTGCTTTATCTGGGTGTTCAGAGAATTTCTGTGACATCTTATGAATAAGCTGTGTAGAAATGGCTACAACTGTAAAGCTGTAGCAAAAACCTTGCAAATGGTAATGCAGAAGTAGGTCTGGGGAATGAACAGCTCAAGCCAAACAGTACAGTGCTATTGGGCAACCTGGTGAACACAGATTCACAACCACTAGCACTTAGCAACGCTTGACTCAAGAAATGTGTGGTATAATGAGTGAGTAAGTTATTGTGGGCTGGATTAGAAACTGTAAACATCAGTTAGAGTCTTCTTTTGATGGAAAATTTGTCCCAAGCTCCAAACAACTTACTAACAAAAGTGCTTTGGAAAAGTTATGTTGTAACTTGGAAACTTCCTGAACTTGAGCATTGCAGAGGAAAACAGGGATTCTGTTAAGCCAGATGTGACTACCATTAATGTGAGTCCTAGAAGAAGGAGAAAGAAGAAGGGAAGATGGTGAGTTGTGTTGCAAGAGGAAAAATGAATTCTAGCCAGATGATTTTTAACAAATGTGAGATGTGATGGGAAGACACAGAAGAGCTCTAGGGAAAAGGTTCAGAAGCAAGGGAACAGGAGAACATCCAGCTATGGACCAATGGGCAAGAAGAGTGAAGAGGCCTCCCTGGTGGCGCAGGGGCTAAGACACAACCTATGAAGTTCCGCAGCCACTTGCAGCATGAGTTAGATCCCTGGCCAGGGAGCAACCCACATGGTGCAGCAGACCTCTCCTGAGTTGCCCGCTGCTCCCCTCAGCAGTGTATTTCAGTCAATCTGCCTGTTCTGTTCCCCACTCTGTCTCTGGTGAGTCCTCTCACCCCCCACACCTCTGGCCTGTACCCCACTTCTTGTATGCATAAATAATTTTTTTTTTTTTTTAAAAAGAAGAGTGAAGAGGGACAAGGGGCAAAGAACAAGCAAAAGAAAGTTATGGTCCAAGACTAAGTTTTGGAAAGAAATTCAGCGATTATTTACCAAAACCTTTTTTATTTTTTATTGATTTACGACACTGAGTATGATTGAGAGGTATAGAATGCCAGATCTTCATATGCATATTGCCACCCCACACCCACGAACAAGGCATCCACAGTCCTCCACCAGGGTCCTTTGGGCTTCCATACCCGGTGTCCACCCTCCACTGTCCCCCTCTGGTAACCTCAATTCTACAGTCAGACTTCTAGGTTTGTTGGTGGTTGAATACTACTTAGTTATAAAGATTGAAAAAAAAAGATGAACTCTTGCCATGTGTGACAACTTGGATGGAAATGGAGGGGATTATGCTAAGCGAAGTGAAAAGGAGAAGAAACAACAAATGGTTTCATTTATCTGAAGAATATAGAGAAACAAAACCTTCTTTATCTCCCTGCAGGGCCCATGTGTCTCACTTTTCTACCAAAATGTTATTTTTTTTATTAGTAAAACCAAATTAAAATTATCATCAAAAGTGACAAACCTGAACCCTGAGAGTATACTCTCCTTAAACGTCACTGGCTGGAAAGTCATTCAAAACTTTTAATAAACATTTGCTGATCAGCTTCCTGTACACACAGTGTTGTGTTTTGTGATCCCGGAGACACAAAGATCTGTAACACTGTTTCTGCAAGAGAGAAAAAAGGACACTACCAGTGCCAGATGGAAAGAAATTGTGATTGCTAAAGGAACAATTATGACCTTGAAGAAACTGTGTCAGTCAGCATTTACTTGGCAGGGAATAAACGCTGCAAAATAAATAAATAAACAGATAAAACTAAAAACAGGCTGGCCTCTGCCACAGTGAGAAGCAAGGCAGGACTCAGGCAATACCTCTCCCTCTCTGGATTTCTGTCACAAAGGTAAGCCTATTCAAGTTTCTAGGCCCATCGGTCTATGTTTCTTGGTCCCCAACCTCTAGTGATAATGGGCAGGAATTCATATATTGGTTATTCTTAACTATCTAAACCAAATTTCTGTTACATTTTGCTCATTTAGCAAAGAGGATACCTACAGCAAATGAATGTTGTGAGACAGTGGAATGGTAGCTTTAAAGTGAGAGATAGAAGTGGTATCTGAAAAAACAGCCAGAAGGTTCTGAGGAAAGACTGAACAAAGGGTTAACTCTATAGAAACTAAGGTGTTACAGGACAGGGAGAGGGGTACGCTAGAGCCCCCAAACCTGCCCTCTCTAAATAGGTTCTGCCATCTGCTGCATCAAGATAAAACATATAAGACCTTTAATGGAAAGGAAATTTAATACAATTAGTAACAATACAGAAAAGACAAAGAATATAGTTTCTAAATCAAGCACCCAAAGTCACCCTCGTGGGTGAAAGTCCACCCAAATGGGATTGGCCCAGAGCAAGGCCCAAAAGTCTGCCACAAGACTAAAGTACCTTCAGGCTGGGGCCCATAGAAAAGGGTCAGCCAGACAAGTCTGGGAGGAAAAAAGCAAAATCAAAAGATAAAAGCTGCCATTGTTAACCTCCCCATGGGTCTCTCACCCACATCTGTTTTAAACAGCCCAGGACCAAGTACAATTCTTCATATGCCTCTCTGCTCCATGTGCCTCCTCCAGGTCTCCTCGTTTTCTATCCTGTTTTCTTTCTTCTCCAGTCTCCTCTCCAGCTTCTTCTCCTCCTTGCTCAGCTCCACCCTCCTTTGGGTGGGGCAGGAAACCTGGAACCTCCCCTTTTCCTGGGGACCACCCTGTTACAAAAGGAAAATAGAGATGTCATGAATAAGTTGATGACTCTGTGGACTAGTTCTCAACTGCATATAACTTCAAGTGGAAAGCATTAGAAAGTCACAGAAATAGTCCATAAATGCAAAAAAATTAAACATCAAAATCAACTTAAGTTCATTGAAATTGAGCAAGTCATGGTTCAAGAGTGTGAATCATTCCAAAAATACATCTTAGATATCCATCCCATCACTATTTAAGTCTGCATATTTTTATACTTGAGAAGAGAGTGACCAATTTTGTAAATAGAAGTTTTGAGGGGAATCTTGTTCCACCAGATATGAAAATACATCAAAAAGACATAACTAAAAACTATATATATATATATATATATATATATATATATATATATAAAACAAATAAAAAACCATAAGGTAGCTAGAATGGCCAAGGACCAAGATTTGTGTCTGTCATACAGGTGTAATTCACTTGCAAAACATCCTACTTTGGTTGTTAAATTATATGGTGACTTTAATTAATAATTAAAACAATATGGCATTGGTACAAAAGTAGACATTAACATTAGACTAGAATAATTATCCTATATATAGATCATAGTAAATATAAAAATGCTTATATTTAAAGAAGTTGGCATTTTAAATTCCTTTGGTGGCACTGGTACAATTCATTGACTTTGGGAGAGAAATAAAATTAGATGTTTATCAAAGTAATTTTTACATGCAATTGAAGAGTTAATTTGTTTAAAAGCAGAAAGAACCATTAAACAATTAGAAGAAAATAAAGATTAATATTTATTTGATTTCAAGTTTGGAGAAAACTCACTTAAACGTAAGAGCAAATAATGGAGGAACTTATTGCAGGGGAAAACATTAATTAACTTGACTGCATGCAAATTAGATACATCTCCACATAATAAAATTATCTCATAAATTTAATAAAAAACAAAAAACTAGGGGAGAAAGCTATTTGCAACATATGGTAGATGAAAGATTAACACCCTTCCTTTCTTACATTACTTATTGAG